CAGCCTCAGTGATTCTGCGCTTCTGTGCGTGTCCTCGGCTACATCTGTCTCTCCACACGGATCCGTGCGCGTAACGCGCCTGGGTATCCGTGTGCACCCCGGGTGCAGTCACTGCGTGTGTGGGATGAACTGTACTCTCACAGAGTGCTTGTGCTTGGAGCTGGTCTTCAAGCCTGTCCAGTTCCAGCCCTCTGCCGTGGGCAGAGACACCTTCCACCAGACCAGGTTGCTCCAGGACCTTTCCAACACTTCCAGAAATGGGGCAGCTGCAGCTTCTCTGCGCCAGGGCCTCCCCACCCTCACAGGGAAGAATTTCCTCCCAGTACCTAATCTATCCCTGCCTTCTGTCAGTTGAAGATCCAGAGGAAGGGCTAAAACACCAGGTTGCAGACCTTTGGCTGGCACTTGGTGCAGATGCTTTTAAATCCCTTTTAGATTCCTGCCCTTACAGTGGGGTGTTCTATAGGAGGCAAGCGTCTGTCAAGAGACTTAATTTCACTAGAAGTGAGCGGAGAGGAGATGGTTTCTTTGCCTTCCGTGAGGGGAAGGGGAGTTGTAACCTTGTTCAGAAGAGACAAGGCAGAAGAACTCAGAGAATGGGAAAGCAGATGGTTGTAATATGCCTCGGAACCAGGCTGCTTTTGTTGCTTTGTGAGTTGCTTTAATTTCAAAGAGGCAAAGACAGAATTTTGAAGGTGTCGCTTGTATTGTCGCCTCTTCAGTGTGTTCTCTGGGAGAAGAGAGGAATGTCATTGGCTTTGTCAGTGGTGCCCACAGGTTATGTCTGTGGGATGGAGATACCACATCACCCACTGCTTTGGTTATGTAGCGGTGCGGGGGAGAGGGAAGGACTCGGCTTTTTAAGGAGGGGTAAAAATGGGCATTTCTGGTCAGGAAGGCATTGAGACATTTTCAGGGTGGGACAATTGTCCCTTGTGCCCTCGCTGAGTAAATGTGGCTTTTACAGAAACCGTACATACCTGACAGAAATATGTCCCTTGGGCCTGCTTCCAGGGGTTGTTTAGTCCGTCTCTCAGGTGGCACCTCACCCTGGTCCTACACTGGAATGTGTCGCTGTGATATCAGCTGTTGACATTTGAAAATTACTCCACTCCAGCTCCTCCCTGCTGCCTGGGTCCACGAGAGGGCTAGGTGATGGATTTGGTACGTGTTAGTTAGGAGGAGTTGCTTGGCTGGAAGCACCCAGAAGCGTGACCTGGCAAGACAAGGGATCTGCCCGGGTCCAGGGCAGAGCATGAAGGAAAGCAAGTACAAGTCAGCTTTCCTGGGGGAAATCAGGAGGAGGCACTGCCCTGAGCTGTGCCAGAGGACCCTTCCCATTCATTTAGAGCACTGCACGTTCCTTTCCTTGAAGGTAACGCTGTGCTGCTGCAATGCCCCTGTGAGGAGTGCTGGAATGTGTGACATAAACAGATTACTTAATAACCGATTTTGCAAGAGGGGAAAAGTAAAGCTCCACCTTATCCTGCGAGATAAGGTATTCTTGGCTCTCTGAGCGTAACTTCCCCGGGCTCGCTGCCACCCTGACTCCGCGGTGGGGTGGAGGATGCTGGAGTTCGAGTCGGACAACTCCACTGCAAAGCCTGAGGAGCGCACCGGCTCCATGTGTTAGGAAATGGGGAGCAGCACACCTGTCCTGCCTTCCAAAGGATGGGCAAAGGACACGTTTCGATAGCACCTCTCAGCACTGCTGTGGCAGTGAATTCAGGAGAACATGCAGTCAGGGGAAGCTTTTCCTGGGTCCCGCTATCATTGTGGCATTTAGTGTTGTGCTGCTAACTCTGCAGGGAAGCTCACACAGGGATTTTGTAACAATGTTCTATAACTACTTGTTCCATTTTAGCACTTTCCTCCTCCTCCTTGCTTTCTATTCTCGACCCGGTTGTGTCATTGCACTTTGCTGGTAGAGAGCTGTGTGATGCCATAAGCCCAAGATTAGTCCTTGATGGCTGGATCAATGAGGAGAGAGGCTAAAAGGGCAGAGATAACTGTGAACATCTTTACCTGTATCAACAGCAGGCCGGCGGTGGGAGAAACGAGCCATATTTTGCCCATACACTTTGATTTCTTTTTCTCCTCCCGTCCCTGCCGTCTGTTTTTGATCCGTGACTGTAGGCAGACCCTCCTCCATTTTCAGAAGTAACCAGATGACCTGTTTCATATCCAAGTCTTTAATTGCTTCTGAAAGAAATGGGATTAAAAAAGTAATCAGGTAAAATCTGATCACAGAATGTGCTCATTAATATTCTTTTTTACCTTTAATTTATGTGTGGAGGAAAACCAGGCTGCGTTTTGCTTCAGTAAAACTGAACTGGGCTTAACTCCTGCAAAAGCCAAACTCAGAGGACTCAGGCAGTGCCTTTGTGCTCCCTTTCCATACAGCAGCTGGCACAGCTTCCCTGTGAGGATGGTGAAGCCCTGGCACAGGTTGCCCAGACAAGCTGTGGCTGCCCCTGGATCCCTTGAAGTGTCCAAGGCCAGGTTGGATGGGGCCTGGACTGACCTGGGCTAGTGGAAGGTGTCCCTGCACATGGCAGAGGGGTGGAACTGTGTGAGCTTTAAGGTCCTTTCTGCCCCAAACCATTCTGTGATTCTACTGAACTTGGAAACCACGGGTGGAGTTTGGAACCCAATGCTGCTCCACACAGCTAAGTAAAAACAGGACAGGTGGTTTAGATCTTCCCAGCTTTGCCACACCGTGATGAAAGATTTCGGGTCTTCAGATTCTTTCCACATTTAATTCCCCGTGGCACTTTGCAGGAGAGCGCTTCCTCTTGGCAGCGTCCAGCAGGTCATCGCACAGGCTATCGTTCTGGTCACTGCCGCTGGCTTTCCTCTGCTGTCAGCAATCAGCATTAGCTCTGAGGTTGCTGGGGGGGATGAGGAGGTTTCTGATGCCCGCCTACTCCATGCTCAGTGACAAAAGCTGCAGTCTGAGTTCAGAGGGTGATAAACCGACTTTACATAAGGCAGCGATAAGCTGGCTGTGCAGGCAGGAGAAGCGGAGA